AGGAGAGGAGGTGAGCTACTTGCTATTCAGCCTTTCTGAGGAGCAGAATTTCAGCTCAACCTTTGAATCTTGAGTTCTTTAGAGGGACAGAGATTTAGATAAGTTCCCATCATAGCTGTGAAAGAGTCAGTGCCTGAGGGAATGGCTCTTGTGGCTGTCCTAACTGCTGCTGCCAGCAGCAGAGTTGCAGTTGCCGATTCAAACAGCTGAGGTGGAAAACGGCAGTGACAACTTAAAAACACAAGAATAATGGGGACTTTTGAAGTTGGATTAAATGTATTTTGCATTATGTTATGGCTAGAAGCCTATGGGGCCAGGGGGTGCAATGTGGTGGTTTGGATAGGTGTGGTCTCCATAGGCTCCTGTGTTTGAATGCTTGAATAGTGTTTGAATAGTAAGTGACACTATTAGGAGGTGTGGCCTTGTTGGAGGAAGTGTGTCACTGTGGGAGTGGGCTTTGGGGTCACATATGCTCAAGCTATGCCCACTGTGACACACAATCTCCTTCTGCTGCCTGTGGGTCAAGATGTAGAACTCCCAGTTCCTTCTTCTCCAGCACCATGTCTGCCTGCACGCTGCCATGTCTCCCACCATGATGATAATGGACTAAACTTCTGAACTGTAAGCCAGCCCCAATTATGTTTTTCTTTATAAGAGTTGCTGTGGTCAAGGTGTCTCTGCACAGAAATAAAACCCTAAGACAGGGGTTAGTTCAACTTAGACTGGTTTTGGCTGCATGTGCAGTAAGATAAACTGTGTCATGTAAGTAAATGTTTAGAGAGAACTCCCTAATTACCATCTTATACATATGCTTAATTGGTTCTGTATATGACTAAAATCAGATCCATTGTTGGGAGGGTTGCACACAGTCAATCAAATAGAAAACCACTCATTTGATGAGATTATTTATCCCTTGAGAAATGTCAGCTGCCAAAGAATTATCAGTGGACAAAATGTTACAAAGTTTGGCCCGGTGGTTTTGGCACACACCTTTAATCCCAGCACTCAGGAAACAGAGTCAGGTGGATCTCTATGAGTTCAAGCCCAGCCTGACCTATAGAGCAAGTTCTAGGACAGCCAGAGCTATACACAGAGAAACCCTGTCTTTAAGACCAAAAAAAAGTTACCAAGTTTTACATTGTAAAAAAGTTAAATTATATTTTATAGACTTTTGTCTCAGTAAACAAGAAAAGAATTAGAAAAATCTAAATTTGCACCCAGGATAAATGAGATTACAGAGAGCAAAGCCGTGGGTGCCATGTTCTTAGGGATTAGGGTAGAGTATTCAGATCCACTGGGGGTTGCTACTTTGATGCCACCTGTACAAATAAAAACAGAAGGCAAAGAGATGAAGAGGGCTTGCTAGGAAGAGACCTGGCACAGACTGCTATGGCCCTCAGAGTGTTACCAGGTCCTGTAGCACCCTCACAGGTAGGACACCCACTGGATGCAGACTGACCTAAAGGCTGAGCCAATTGTCTAGAACAAACATTTGTCTCAAATGAGGAGCCTCTGGGGAGGTCTTGTTTCCATCCACAATGGGACAATACTGTACACTAGGGATCCTAGGCCCCAACTTGCAGTCAAACTAAGGACAGAGCAAACCTGGGCTGGCTGGAGGAAGACAGCTGCCTAAGCAGCTTCTCCCATCTCCTATCTGAATAGACACTGAGAGGAGACAAGGCTTAGGTATTGTTGTCCCTTGGCCAGAAACACTTCCCAGGGGTATGATGGGAAGAAGGTTAGGGAAAGGTGACAATGCTCAAATCCTGAGATTTAAGCCACCACGTGGAGGCTAGGGATTGGACCTGGGTCCTCTTACCGCCTGAGCTGTTTCTCCAGAACTTCAGCCCTTCATTTTTTTACCATGAATCCATGCTGGATCGGGTATAGTCTTCTAGTCTTTCCTATGGTTGTATGAATATAATTGACCCCCATAAGCTCATATGGACTGGCACTATTAGGTTTGGCTTTGTTGGAGTAATTATGGCCTTGTTGAAAGAAGTGTGTTACTGTGGGGGTGGAACTTGAGTCTCTTATGCTCAAGCTATGCCCAATGTCACAGTTCACTTCCTGTTGACTTGAGTCTCTTATGCTCAAGCTATGCCCAATGTCACAGTTCACTTCCTGTTGACTTGAGTCTCTTATGCTCAAGCTATGCCCAATGTCACAGTTCACTTCCTGTTGACTTGAGTCTCTTATGCTCAAGCTATGCCCAATGTCACAGTTCACTTCCTGTTGACTTGAGTCTCTTATGCTCAAGCTATGCCCAATGTCACAGTTCACTTCCTGTTGCCTATGGATCCATATGCAGAACTCTCAGCTCCTTCTCCAGCACCATGTCTCCCTGCATGCCTCCATGCCCCACCATGATAAGAATGGACTAAATCTTTGAAACTGTCAGGTACACTAATTAAATGTTTCCTTTATAAGAGTTGCCATGGTCATGTCGGCTCTTCACAGCAATAGAAACCCTAACTGGGACAAACCCCTAATGACCGAGCCTCCCAAGAGTCACTGCCTTCCAAAGAATCTGCCACCTTCCAATGGTGTCACCTGCTTCAGTACAGGAGTACCTTGTTCTGGAAAAATCAAAACTCCAAGAAAATAAGATACCGAGATAGCTTACGGTACTGTCACAGTATACAGATGTCATTAACTTGGGTTTCAGTTGGGTCTAAAAAGGGTGCCAGAGTGACTAGCAGACATCTGTAACTGCATTGTAAAGCATCTGCCCATCACAAGACACTTGACATTGCCATAATGAGGAAAGAAAAGAACCGTAAAAGGAGGGGACAGATACAGAGTGTGAATTCTGGGAAAGTCTCTCCCCATCCCCAGAGAAGACTTGGGTTCACGTCTCTTCCCACTCCATTCCTCCCCTTTCATTTTATTTTACCCTTGCAACAACTTCCCGACGGGTGGAGAAGAAGATTTGGGGATTTATCTCTCACTTCTGCTCTTGGCCAAGAATGAAGGTCACCTTTGGTTCTCAATCAATTCTCAGCCTTCTTATTGGGCCCACAATTTCAAGATGGAAAAAGAATCCATTTTTGAAGTCAGAAGCAGTAAGCAATTGAAGAGCTTTAGTAGCATAGCCCTTGAAGATTCAACCATGAAAATGAACCCAGAAACTTGGCACAGACAAACTAACAACTTCACTAGAGATGTGGAATCTGGCTAGAGTTAATGAGTCCTTGACAACCTGAAACCATGTACTGTGAACTTCAGTGCTCACCAGAGTCTGGGGTGAGGATGCTCGCAGCAGTAAGAAAGTATAGGTGTGTGTCCCCCTCTCTGCTAATGCTTCGATATTCCAAACTCCCCAAGGGTGGTTATTTGCGGGCCCTGTTCTCCCCAATGCACACCTGATTTCGACTCTAGATCATTAGAAATTCAGGCCAGGAAGAATTTATCAGCTGCCAGGAGGCAGGGAAGCCTGTCCAGCCAGCTTCTTCCTGTCCCAATCCTGGATGGAGTTTGCTAGACGCTTCCACTCTAGGAACTGAGACCAAGGGTCAGACAGAAAGGACTAAGGTAGGACAAGCAGTAAAGCCTATCCCCAGTGTTGGGTCCCAGCCCCAGTATAGTCTCTGTGAGTTGCTTGCCAACCAATAACCACAAGTGCATCCTGTTTTCTAGTCCTGGCTTACAGCCCTGGCCTCACCCCACTAGCATCAACTACACCTGGGAAAACACAAGCTCTTACACCTGGGGTTTTTCCACTGCACTGTAAGTGTATAAAAGGCTATTCTCCCCCTGGAATAAAGTTGGACAGACGAGCATAGCGCAAGCGACCGGACATCTCTGCTTTTAATTAAATCTCTAGGCTTTCGCCCGACACATTAGACTTAGTTGTGGCATGGACGCTACACCCCAGCCCACATCCCTGTGAATGTCCTCTACTGCACTCAACTGTGCACGTGACACAGATGGGTCAGTAAATCCCAGGAATGTTGTGCAAGTTGTCTCAATCTTCCAGACTCACCTCAGTTAATTCCTCACCAGATGAATGGGTCAGCAAAGAAAGCTGGTTAGTTGCATAGGAGAGACGTGAGCCACAAAGCTACGAATACTCACCAGAGACCCAACTAGAGCCACATCTTGCCAAAAGCTCACCCTAATCTTGCACCGCCTCTGCCCAGTTCGCTGCGGGAGTGGTGGTGTTCTGGAGGCTGATCCTTGATCCCTCTCAACTTCCATCTTTGCTGCCAAGAAAGGTTATGTAAGAGTGTTGTGTAATCCTCCTATTTATTTCCTCCAGCCATTGGAAAGGGGGCACTGTGTGCCGTAACACACATACGCAATTGCAATGCCCTGCGAGTCCCCACTGAACTTGAACTTGACTTGTATTTGGAGAGTCAGTCTCTGCTTGCCATTCTAACACCATGGAAGGGAGGGAGGGCCCTCCTAGTTTAGACCTTCCCACAGCTAAATGCTATAGACAAATGCTGCCTTCACCCTGTGCGGGAAGTCACGAGCCAGGACACAGGTGGTGTATTTCTTCAACAGTGACATTTTTACACGGAAGTGTGTCTCTCTAAATGGCTGGGGCCTGAGCAGATTCATTCAGCATGGCAGGTCTATCAATACAACAGCAGAGGAAGAGGTGGGGAAACCAGTGAGGACCACCCACCAGGAGCCATTTAATAGAGGACAGGAGCATCCTGGACAGGGAGAGCCCAGCAATGGAGACTCTTGTTCTTGGGCCAGTGGGTGTGTACTCTTGTTTGTGATGAGTGAGCTTAGGAGGAAAATCAGAATCCTTGGGCTCAACATAGCAGGGGAACAGGAACCAGGGTGGTCTCAGACAAGGGTGAGTATGCTAGGAGAGAGCTGCTGTACCTGGGAAGGGACTAGGGTATGAGAAGCTGGCTTTCTGCCACGAGAGTAATGACCCCTGGGCCACCTCAGATACTGATTCCCTTCCAGGTTCATTCTGTGGGGATCACCAAGTTGACTGGACCTGCGTGCCGGTCTTCCCAGCCCAGATGCTTGACCCTGTGGTTTATGATTGTCCAACACCCAGCTTCCAGCCAATGAGGTGTCTACTCAGTCTGTTACCCCAATAGGGTAGGTCAAAGATTGGCTTAAATATCCATCACAAGCACGATGCTAAGACTGCTCTAGACCCCAGCTCTGAGCAACTAGGTGAGTATGGCTTCAGGGCAACCTTGGAGCATCTCTGCATTTGTCTTGAGTAACAGAACCTTCTTGGGACCTCCAGGTTAGGTTTTCTCAAAAGTCTAAATGTTCAGAGCTAAGAGGCAGTGGCTTTGTGGAAACTTGTTCTTGAAATCCTGGATTTGTAATGTACAGACTCTAGGGAGAGACATCAAGGGTCCAGCATGAAGACTGGCTGCCACAGGCTACTGTCTCAAAGCTCCAAGAAATGTAGAGATACAGTAATGGGGCCTGGAGAGTGTTGGAGAAGGGAACCCCCAGTGCTTCATGCTAGCCACTGTATCAAGTCCTCACAGGCCCCTAGAAGGCAAGTGTTTCTTTATCTGTTCTACAAATGAAGGAACCGGTCCAGAGAGATTAAGTGACATGCCAGTGTCATACATCTAGATAGGGTGAGAATTTAACATCTAGTGTGTCTGGCCTTATACTTTCTCCCTGTGATGGTTTCCTCTTAGGTGACAGCACACACGTGCCAGGTCTCCATGCTTACCAGCAAGCTAGGGACTTGGTCAGGGGACTTACCTGGTTTCTTTTCTCTTTTGCAGGAGTACAGGGAAACATACAGGCAGATGGAGCTGTGCCTTTTGGCCTTTGAGATTTGAGACCCATGGCTTCTTATCATATCCGAAAATACCGGGACAGCGACCACAAGAGTGTGGTGGACTTGTTCTCCAGAGGCATGGAAGAGCACATCCCCACCACCTTCTGGTACATGCTGATGCTGCCCCGGACCCTTCTGCTCTTTTTTGGGGTCACTCTTATCCTACTCTTGGCCTCAGGCTCCTGGATTCTGGTCCTTCTGTCCAGCCTTATTCTCTTTGTTTCCCTGTGGCTCCTTGCAAAATACACTTGGGAAAAGTATAAGGTATTCTGTTTGCACACAGACATAGCTGACATCCCCACAACCTATCTGAGCTCTCGTGACTCCTGCTTCTGGGTAGCTGATTCTAGGGGTGAGATTGTGGGCATGGTGTCTGCCCTGCCAGTGGAGGATCCCCTCCTACAGAAGAAGCAACTACGGCTACAGCACCTCTCTGTGTCCTTGGCGCACCGAAGAGAGGGGATAGGGAAAGCCATGGTCAGAACTGTCCTCCAGTTTGCACAGGCCAGGGGCTTCAGTGAAGTTGTCCTTTCTACCAGTATTTTGCAGTATGCGGCCCTGGCTCTCTACCAGAACATGGGCTTCCAGAAGACTGGCGAGTCCTTCTACACCATTATCTCCAGACTAAGGAAATCTCCACTCATAAACTTCAAGTATTGCCTCACATCTGCTCAGGAAGGGGGCCTGTGATCTATCTCCCATGTGTGTGTGTCCGTCAGGAGCTGAACACCACTGTAGAAGTAACAAGCAAACCCAGCTACTTCAGGTGCAAAACACTAACCCTCACGTTCAAGCACAGGTGAACCAATATGTTTGTGGGAGAGGTTGAGGCAATGGCCACTCTTTGCTATACACGCTTTCCAGGGTGTTGATTACTTAACACTATAGTAATGTATAAAAAGCAACACTAAGTAATAAAATTTAATTTAGCTTGTGAATCTTTGCATCATCTAGTGATCCTGGCAGGATAGCTCTCGGGGTCTCTGGACATCTTGGATTGGCTGAAGGGTATTACTCCATTCTAGCAGGCCAGCTTAGGCAGCATTCCAGGTGTTTACAGAGTAACCAAAGCAAAAGCATAAGGAAGAGGCCTTTCCCAAGACCTGAACATGTCACATGCAGAAACACTCTGACATAGAAGGACTGCAGTCACAGAACCAAGGGGCAGGATATGGCCCTGGGAGCAGCAAGGAGGTTACATGCTCAGTCATCTCGGCACAGGGTAGGACAGTGGGTGGGGATGGAGTGCCGGGTATTGCTTCCACCCTTCGGCAGTTGGCTGGCCCTGATCTTGTGCAGTGGCACACTTGTCTTCAGTTGGGCTAGACATGGGTTTTCCTATAGCCAAAAAGAGCTACAGGGTCGCTAGGACTCCCAGATGTCACCCTTGGGACCCAGCCTGGCTCTAGCCTCACCACATTGCCCCTGACTCCTGGTTTCCCTAAGTGCCTCTGGCTTGACCATGTGCTTCTATAAGCCTTGATGTCTTGGGTTTGTGACAATGTTTTCTTGGCAGTACAAACTTCAATGCCACCAACTTGTGTATTTTAAAATGGTTAACTCCAGGCATGTGCATGCCTTTAATCCCAGCACTCAGAAGGCAGACATGAGACAGGAGGCTCTCTGTGAATTAAAGACCAGCCTTGCCTACAAAGCAAATTCCAGGCCAGCCAGAGCTACATAATGAAACCCTATCTTAATAATAATAATTTTAAAAAATAAAATGGTTAACTTTAAAATTTGTAAATGTCTTCTCCCAATAATTTGAAAATTGAGAGGAGACTATAGATGTATCTAAAACTCTCAAGTTCACAAGTAATACATAGAAAGTTAAAGAGAGTTCCCCATTGCTGCAATTACAAATAACAAATACTTTGTTATGTGGGTTCTGGAAATCTGGGGCCCTGAGGGTCAGACTCAGTTCATTTTTCTGGGTATCTGCCCAGCCCCTGCTGGAGTTCTGTGGGGAGAGTGCTGCTGTGTCATCTGAGGACACAATAGCCACGAAATCGTGCAATGTACCATTCTAAACCCCAACTCCACTGGTGCAGAAGCGCAGAGGGGCCTTCTTGGTCAGTTTGACACTATGCTCTGCAATGGAGGAATACTAACAGTGCTTGAGGAACCCGAAAGTCTTCAGGTATGAGGGTGGGGGAAGAATGTTGCTTCTGTCAGAATTGAGGTGGGCATAAATCAAGCAAACCCATGAATTGTGGGGATTCCACAAAGTGACAAAATGTAGACTTATGGGTTGTACAAGGACTTGTTTGTGCACGTGTAGCATAGGAGACTGATGGTTTTCCAAAAAGCAGGAAGAAACAAGGACATAGATCAAGATGATTTTTGAGCTTTAGTGACTTGGATCCGTCAGAGAGTAAACCTGGAATGTTGACTCCAGACTTCTTGTCCCTTCAGCTAATAAGTAATTCCTTCAACTTGAAGGACACGGTTTTATTCTGACCATGGCAAACATGGAAAGACTTAAACATTTCTGAACATTCATCACTGTAGATGTAGCATCACGAGCTGCCGTGTGCTCCTGCCTCCATGCGTCCCTTGGTGGTGAATCCCGCCCTCAAACCCTGAGCCAAATGCAACCTGAGTAAAAATGGCCTAGTCTCCTTCAAATTTCCTGCAGCTGCCTACATTCCTCTCTTCTCATTTTAAAAAAAGTATGGCAAATGTGCATAGCACACAATTGGTTTTGTACATGTTTTATCTTCTGATTAACAGGTTAGGATTTCAGTACTGTGTAGACATTGGAATGTTGTACCTCTAAGGCTAGTTACTTTATTTGGGACCAGTCCTACTCCTCAGAGCAGCCATCCCTTGTCCCCTGTGTTGGAAACAACATCTTGTGACTATAGATAAAAACCTTTTAGAATCTATGAACTTAGCAGACCACTCGCTTCCATAAACCCAAAAGCTAAGAATGTCATCAGCTAGCATCTTGGGCCTATAGTAAGTAACATTTCCATCCTGCCGTACCTACCTTTATTATATACCTATGAATTTTAAATGTGCTTTGATTTGTGATTTTTTTATTATGGAAAACTATAAAAATTTCATGAAACTGCTTCTATATTGGAACATGGAATTCTGAGTAACCAAATGTGTGTTCCCAGGCCATGGTCATCCAAAATGTCTCCTGAATAAACTGTCTCTTATTCCTTTAAGACAAGAGCTGTGTTTTTTTTTTGTGTGTGTGTGTGTGTCAAATGGAGTAGGGTGTCAGAGCCTCTGGACCTCTTATAAACCATCATGTGGGTGTTGTCAAACCCAGGTCTTCTGGAAGAGCAACAAGCGTTCTTCATTACCAAGTCATCTCTCCAGACCTGGTTAACCTTTTCCAATAAATCAATGTGAAGATATTCAGCAGGGGAGATCTGGTTTAAGTTTTACCAGTATGGCTGGACACGGTTACAATACCAGGCTTCGGTGTGAGGTTAGTGAGGTTAAGGTCAGCTTTAACAACACAGTGAGATGCCATCTCAAAAACAACAACAACAACAAAAACAAAAACAGAAAGCTCATGTGGCCAGTGAAAGGCTGCAGTTTTAGAATTAGCCTGCCTGGACAAGGCTTCTGGGTTAAAGGCTTCTGCCGGCCATGTGCCCAAAGCTCGCATTAAACATAGTCATTGAAGGAGAAGGCTAAGGGGGCATCTCTTACCAATTAATGTTTCCTGTCAGTTGCATCTTGACTCAACCCTATGTAAAGGAGGGAAGGGCATCGCCTGCCACCTAGAAATAAACAGATTCAGGTGAGAAGGTGAGTATGCCCTTGGCTTGCAGGAACTAGGAAACAGGAAGCAGAGAAGTCTAGGCTTTAACAAAAACAAAAACCCGTGGCTCCTTCAGGAGAGCATAGCTTGGCAGAGAGATGGTGCCTGTGGAAGGAACTCAAATGGTGCCTGGGATGGGGGCATTTTGAGAACGGAGAGGGAGTGACTGTGAGCAGACACTGAAGATATGGGACTTTCCCTTGGAGGAACGCAGACGTAGCCAGGAGCTTTGGCGACTATGTTGAGCAACCTAGATATGTTTGAACTTAATGTGTGGTGGAAATGAGGGGCTCTGGATGAGCAGATGAGGCTGAATCTGTAGCTTTTGCCTCCCTGGTGAGAGATAGAAAGGTGAGCAGGAAGAGATGGGCAGGAAACCCTACACAAACTTGCTTTCTTTCTGTCCCACCCTCCAGCAGACATGTACAAAGAACACCACTGTTACACCAAACTCCTTATGTACCACAAGGAGAGACAACACTTATGGATCCTAAAGATTTTATTAATCCACCATGTAAGCGTTCACTGATCAATCAGGGCTGCAGGACAAAGACTCAGGAGCCTTGTTTCTCCTGACAGTCCCGGGCAGGGGCAGAAGCAGGGTTTATAAGCACAAAAATCACAATTTTCACCAATCAGAAGTTAAAGATCAGGGACTTTCCTTGTGTGTACCATCATTGTCAACTGACTTTCAATTCAAATGGTGAGATTTGTTGTTCTTTCTGTGGTTAGGAGCAGCCATAATGTTTCTAGAGAAGTAAGGGTGAATAAGGACTATTGCTATGGTTTAGGGAGAAGGAAGGTTACCAGCTCCCCTAGGACCTGGGAACTTGAACTTTGTTTCACCCTACAGGTAAAATGGAGTCTGAAGTTGAAATGGCAGTATTCAGGCCAAGGAGCTTTTTCCTGCGCCCTTCACCACAGTGCTTTGGTCTCTATGATCTTGTGATTGATGGTCATCGTGTTAGAAGTCTAAACAACGGCTGTCAGTAGGAGTCCACAGCCCTCAAAAGGCCTGTTTGACTATGATGTAGGTAGCATCAGGTCATGTACATTTTCATATGAAACTTCTTGCTAAATAAACTTGTGATACTCAAAACTATTTTTAGGCTTTATTTTTATGAATATGGGTGTTTTTTGTTTTGTTTTGTTTTGTTTTGTTTTGAGGCAGGGTTTCTCTGTGGCTTTGGAGACTGTCCTGGAACTAGCTCTTGTAGACCAGGCTGGTCTTTAACCCACAGAGATCCCCCTGCCTCTGCTTCCCGAGTGCTGGGATTAAAGGCGTGCGCCACCAACGCCCAGCTGGGTGTTTTGCTTTTATGCATGTTTGTGCACCATGTGCTCGAGGAGGCCAGAAGGTACTGAATCCTTGGAACTGGAGTTACAGACAGTTGGAAGTGGCACGTGGATGCTGTGAGGGCATCTAGTGCTCTTAGCCACTGAGCCATCTCTCCAGACCTCCCTTCATTTCTGAAAGGATCTCTCACTGAACCTGGAGTTGGCGGTCAAGCTCCTGGGATAAGCCTGTCACCTCCCCAGCACCCAGATCACGGCAAATACTGCCCTGGCTTTTCATGTGGGTGCTGGGAGTTAAACTCAGGTCCACATGCTACACTTCAAGCACTTTACTGAGTGAAAAATATACCAAGTCCTACTTTTAATTCTTATGAAAAGCACATATACCTATTAAAGGAGAGAAGTCTGTGGGTTTGGTGTGCAGAACATCCCCAGTGCTCCTGTAAAGGATTTCTGTGACTCCTCAACTATTCAGTTATGGCTTGTGTCTTGCTTTGAAGGGACCAGCTTCCCTTTTGACAAGGAACCCATCAGAAGTTAGTCACTAGAAAGTCAGGTGCCTGCTTCATGACAAGGAACCAATCAGAAGTTAGCTGGTGGCGCTATGTTTTATGACCCTGGGTGTGCTTTACGGACAAGCGCACAGCAATGACGCACAACGCATAGCAACCACCCTGGGAGGGCTTATGGGCCATAACAACCAGTTGACCAATCGACACGGGGTAAGCCCTCCAAGCCTGGAGGCACACCAATCGTGAACCTGTGCGCACCCCTAGACACTCCCCTTACGCTGCCCTATAAGATCTCTTGGGCGCCCCTAGGAGCCATCTTTTCTAGCCATCCACCATGGCGGGTGGGTGAAAGACCTGAGCTAACATGGGGTTAGCTCGTTAAATTACAATAAAGCCTCATGCAGTTTGCATCAAGCTCTCGAATCCGCCTGGTGATTGGGGTGACCGCAGTCGTGGCCTGGGACCTCGGATACCTGAGTTTTCTGGGGGTCTAACAGCTTGCATATCAGCAGGGCTGAGAACAAGTGTTAAGTGGCTACATGCATGTGCACAGTTCCTTCTCCGAGCCCCCTGTACAGGGAATGCTTGCTTCCTCTTCGGGGCATGTATTAGCTATTGCCTTATTTCAGTGATCAAATAGCTGATGAGAAGCAACGTCAGGGTTTGTTTGGTCTCAGAATTCGAGGGTGCTGTCTATCGTGTGGAGGAAGGCATGGTGGTTGGCTGTGATGACAGAAGCACAGGATGGCTGGTCATGCGGGTCCACAGTCAGGAAGCCAATAAGATGTGCCATGGCATCAGCTCACTTCCTTTTCATTCTGCTGGAACTCCAGCCCATGGGATGGTGTCACCCACATTCAAAGTGGGACTTCTCGCCTCACTTAAATGTCCCTGGAGATGCCTCTGAAGATATGCCCAAGATGTGTCTCCTAGATTCCAGAGTTTGCAAAGATGAGTAACTATCACAGCAATGTTGTCTTTAGTTTAAGCTGAGCTATACAGTAAAACTGGCTTCTTCCTCTAGGTTTTGGCTTTTGTTGTATATTTATTATTCAATCTAACTGTCCTTATCTCCTTTACCATCACCCTCTTTCCAAAGCCTCCGACCTCTTATCTGGATTGGTCACTCTGTGAAGCACTCTGGCAGATTCTTCCTGAGCCAGCCATGAGCTACATGTGTACATGACCCACTAACAGGAGGACGGTGATGACGCCTGCCTTCCTAGTCTTCAGTGGGTAAGTCAGGAAGAAAACAAAACAAAGCAACACCCCCCAGCCACTTCTGTAGAACAAGCTTTCTAGCTCTGTTCTGAGCTTGCTTAAAGCCCTCCTGTTAGGTGACAGCACTGCTGTGCCTGTCATAGGGTGACAGGGCTGTCCTCTTTCTAGTCTGGCCAAGGTGCTCGCTCTTTATGTTCTGGAAGAAAGAGCAAATATTCTAAAGCTCCTTCCACCATTTCTCAGCTCCTACATCATGCAATCAAGCAGAGGGTTTGTTCAGTCTTATGCTGATTCTGGATTTGGGGAGCAAAGGTGAGGATGAATGCTGACATAGATTGGGTCAGGAGCTGGAGGAGTATGTACACCGGCCACGCCCACTTTGGAACTTGGCCACAGGTCCTCTACGGAAGAGAAATCTAGGAAGCCAGGCTGACCCAGTCCAGTCTAGTCAACTGGAGGAAATGGGGAGGACAGGGAACAGGCACCCTTGTGCAGATTTTATCCTAGAGTCTGAGAAGACAGCTTGGGCCCCTGGGTATTTCTGGATACCTTAGCCCTCTTAAGTTAGTGAAGGAACTCAGGGCTAGGGCTGCTCAGACTAAGAGAACTGAGTGTACATCCATGTTAATGTTCCTTAAAATGTAACCCCCAACAACAATAACAAAAACACCACACACACACACACACACACACACACACACACACACACACACACGAAAAACAAACAAACAAACAAACAAACAACATGATTGGATCAGACTTGGAAAATGGCTTCTTTGAGGGAATGGTGAGGATGGAGTTTCCTAAAATGGGAAAACACCTCTTGTGGAACTGCAAAGGGGCAGAGGCTGCAGACAGTGCCCCCTGGCGGACAACACTATTTTGTAAAGCTGCTTTCCCTGTGAGCTCCCTGCCCAGCCCTGCCTGGCAAGTGTCCTGTGATCACCTGGGAGATGGCTATAAACAACATAGGCTGAAATCACCAGCAAAAGAAAGAGTCCCCACCAGTTCCCTGCTCCTCTCCAGATGGGAAGAAATGACCTTCTGCTGCTTAATCACCAAGCCAATCAGCAGTGACTTATTTTCTGAAAGTAAAAACACACAAAAAGGAACTCCCTCTTGGCTAGAACTCAAGAGTCCCACTGTATGGCATGGTCTGTGGACAAGGACTCAGTGGAGAAGGGGAGGAGTGATTGCATACCACAGCCACCCCAGCCACCATTGCCCACACCCCAGAGTACTAAGTTACACATGGACAAAGAGAAAGCTTTATTAAATGACTCATTAAAGTATAAACTAGCTTCTTTAGGTTTACAAAAAAGTATTCCTAGGCTTTGAGGAAAGCAGTCTTATGTCAGTCCCAAGGCACTTTTCTCCCCAGGAGTCGGTTGGTCACTTTCTGTGAAAGAAGACATGGGAAGCCGTCAGATGCAGTCACCAGGTGGCTGGTCATCCTTCCCTCAGCACACTGCTGAAGAGACTCTCCCTACATCCTGTGGATGTTACTCACCTACAGACCTATGGCAATTAGGAAAATGTGTTCCTTAAAGTGTTTTGCAAAGATGGTCAATAAGCAACACCATCTCCATAGAAACAGATACTGGAACGGGATGGACTGACCAACCCATCAGCTGAAAACAACCAGCACAGCAAGGGCCCATGTGATGCTAACACAGCAGGCAGGTCACGAGGTTCCTAGTGTCTCCCCAATGCCCAGGCTCCTGAGTGCTCCAGACACAGTTCTCAACTCTCACACTAGTCTGGTCTGGTTTTTAGCTTCTGCCTTTCAGAGTCCTCTAAGTAGTAGGAGGAAAACAGCAGCTGTGAAGGGCATGACCCATCATGGCGGTGGCCAATGCAGTGTCTAGGGAAATTAACTGGTACCCTGCCCTAGGAGTTTTTGGCAGGCTCCACTCTCTAGCCACTCACTCCCTGCTGACTCATTTATATTGTCCAGGTTATGTACATAGTTCTAGACTTGCAGAAGGGACCTAAGATCACTATTTAGGAATTACAACTCAGTCATGAGGGCTAAATTGCCTGTGTGAAGTCTGCTTTAGCTGCAGACACATAGAAAGTGCCGAATCACAGTTGCTAATGTTTGAAATCTCAGCACTCAGACAGTCACTGTAGTTGTCAAAAGTGTCAGCCAGGCTGCTTCTATTTCCCTCTGCTGATGAGTCTGATCCACCCCTCCATGGACAGTGTCAACCCAGCTAACCGATTTATAGTGCTGAGCTCGCAGCCGGTAGGACTTATAGTCTGATTTCCTCTTCTCCTCTTCTCTCTTCTTCTTTACTTCCGGAAGCTGCTCATAAATCCTTAGAAATGGCGTGAGTGGAAAGACAGAAAGCAGTATGGTTATCTGGCATGAAGGTACATGATGGCTCTCCCCACACCTCTGGTCTATGGCTGCCTAGGCATCCAGTCACTAGACAGGGCCAGCCCCTGATAAACATCCATTCCATAGATGTGGAGAGCCTGGCCTGTGCCTAGTCTGGGGGAGAGATGAATGAAAATATAAAACACCGTAAACAGTGCTTACTTCAAGAAAAAAAAAATAGAATAAAGAAGTAAGTAAAATTCTGTTTTCCATGCTATCTGCAAAACTATATAGTTTCAATATAACAAAAAGGTATTACTGAGTATGTACACACATGTACACAGACACACATCCCTACATATACATATATCAGGATTGACTGAGGTACCCCAGACTAGTCTAGAAATCAGTCTAGCCTTAGCTTACTAAATGTTGGGCTTACATGGACATGCAATACCATATCCAGCTTATTTATTATTATTATTATAATTGCTATTTTGGTTTTTCAAGACAGGGTTTCTCTGTAGCTTTGGAGGCTGTCCTGGAACTCACTCTGTAACTCAAACTCAGAGTTACACCTGCCTCTGTCACCCAAGTGCCGGGATTAAAGGCATGCACCACCAACGCCCAGCTTAAGTTGCTTTTGTTAGGATACTTTATCATGGCAACACAAAAATAACTAAGACAGATACATAGCTGGCAAAAATTTTCTTCCATTCTGTAGCCATCTCATTACTCTTCTGATAGTTCTTATTTTTGCTAGAAGAAACCAATTTCATGAAGTTCCATTTTTAATTCTTATGGTTATTTCTTGTGCTTCTTAGAAAGCCTTTACACATTCCTGTTATCTTGATGTGTTTTGCCTCTAGCAGCGTCAGTTACTACTGTATTTAAAACACAGGGAAATAAACACTCTAGAATAGAGTTGACAGAGAAGAGACACTTACTCTGTGGGAAGGGCAAGCAGGCTGCAGAGGAGCTTAGGCTTGCGTTGGAAATGAAGAACTGTCAGAAGCAGAGACAGAGGGGACAAAGGGGATCTACGCTGGGGAATGTGCTCTGGTAGAAAAGGAGTTTGCAGAGTTGTGGTACAGGGAAACTGAAAGGAAGCCGGTGGGGAGAGGCTGAGGCAGCCTGCAGGTCTTACAGTCATGTGAAAAATTACACTTCATCCTATATAGGGTTGGGTGCCCCTAACTTCAAGCTGAGAGGAGCTTGAAAAACAAGACAAGTGTGTGTAAAATGAAGGAATGAATTTTGAGTAACAGTTACTTTCTTCTTTCTACTTTTAAAAATATTTTCCAAAGATTATTATAATTTAAAAAACAAAATTCATTGAAAAGGAAGCAGTGCCGAGAGTGGCAAACACCTTTAATCCCAGCATTCAGGGAGCATAGGCAGAGACAGGAGATTCTCTGTGAGTTCCAAGCAAACCTGGTCTACAGACCAAGTTCCAGGCCAGCCAGGGTTATATATGTTTGTTTCAAACAAACCAACATCAACATCAATAAAAAACAAACAAAAAAAAAACCATCACGAGTACCACGCCACTACCTTTAGACTGTTCTTACTTAAACCAGACTCTAATGAACACCTGGAAATGTAACTTACTTTTTCAGTGGCATTCTCACAATTAATATATGTGTATATCAAATTGAGTAATTAATGCATAGACCATGTTTGCAATGGCACAAGATTCAAAAAAATTTCTGAAAAACTGGCTCATTTCAGTGGCTGCTCTTACAGAGGACCCAGGTTCAATTCCTAGCACCAATGCGGCAGTTTGCAAACATCTGTAACTCCACTCAAGGAAATCCAGCACCCTCTTTTGGCCTCTAAAGGCACTGCATGCATGTAGATTTATTTGCATACTTACGTAGAGGCAAAACACTCAAGACACATAAAATCAAAATAAACCTTAACAGCAACAAAAGTCCGGTCCCCATATCCCTATGCCCATCCACGCAGGCCTTGTTTCCCAAAGGGAAACATTATTACTAATTCTTCTGCAACTTACAGAAATAGTTCATGCATGTACAGGTCTACACATCGATAAAAGCAAAGGCTTTCTTTTTAAAGACTACCAGCAGCAATGGACTGAAACTGAACATGCTTCTGAAACTCAAGTTCTTAGGCTTAACTTGCCTTGAAGAGCAACTGATCATTTTTTTCCTGGCTTTTCGAGACAGGCTTTTGTCTGTGTAGCTTTGGAGCCTATTCTGGTACTCGCTCTGTAGACCAGGCTAGTCTCGAACTCTCAGAGATCTGCCTGCCTCTGCCTTCCAAGTGCTGGGATTAAAGGCGTGCGCCACCACCACCCAGCTGCAACTGATCATTTCTTACATGGTTGGAAAAACTCCTAGAAACGAGATTGCTAAGATAAAGATGGTGGCCCAAAATAAATATTTATTTTTATTTCAAAATATTTTTTTAGTTACATACAGATTTCTAAAAAAACGACAAGCTCATCCCTGGCATTTCCCTTGCCCCTTTGCACAGGAACCACTCACACATTCTTCTATTTTTCTCTTCCTTTACTATGCTCTGAGAAGCAACTTTATCACTAACCATCTCTGGGCATGCACCTTTACTCTGGGGCTGGGAAGCAGGGTGATTACCAGTGGCCTGGCTTATTTACAGCTGCATAACTACTCTCATTCTTTCAGACTTACCGTTTGGTTCTCTGGATCATTTCCTTCTTTCCAATAGGCGTGTTGCTCTGGACAGTCAGGACGACTAGACAAGACAAGACAAGACAAGACAAGACAAGACAAGACAAGGGGTTCATTAGTGACAGTGACTGTAAGGAGAGGTGTGGCATTGTAGAGCTGTGCACAGGAGCTGCTGGACCCTAGCCCGAGCTGGCGATACAGGGCAAGGCCAAAGCCTGAACTAACTGCATTAGGGGTACTGTGACCAAAATCTAAACCCACTGTGGCTGGATACATTTGAACCCAACTACTGACTAGCTGACAAGTAAGGCTGACAGCGTTAGGTGGCATTTTATATTTTCACAGCTTCTTGTGTTATTTTACTGAGACTTGCCACTCGGTGTAACTGCTAAGAGCACATATCTTGGCTGCAAAACCCAGCTCCTTTACTAAGAAGAGTGTAACCTTGGGTGAGCTATTTACTCTTCCTGTGAAATAAGCATTAATACAGTGCTGTTCTTAGACACATGTCATGAGAACAGTGCTGGGCCAACTCCAAGGTCTGTGTTTATCACTACTACTTTCTATTACACTCTGAAACCAGGAACACAGGCTAGTTCACTAAAGAACCATCCTTACAGCAGCCTCTCTTTTTAAAGAGATGAGATTCAGTGACAAGGCTAGCAGAGCTGGGCTTACTGGGGTCACAGACCAGTGGAAAGCTAGGTTGGGCCAGTCTTCTAGCTAAGGAGTCTCAAGTCTCAGCAAGCAAATGACATGAGGTATATATCTCCTGGGCAGGACAAGGGACATGAGATATTATTATCTCTCCTGGACAGGACAAGGGACATGAGGTATTACCTCTTCTGGGCAGGGGCCGCACAGTGTTGAACAGAGCCTCCCGCTCACTCTGGAATATGCTCTGCAGCTTCCTCTCCTGAACCAGTAACTTCAGGCGCTTTACCCGCTCCCCAGAGCGAGAGATGAAATCAGGTCTGTGAAGCTGAAGAGCTTCCTAAAGGAGAGAAGACGCCTCATGTTAATGGCTTCTCAAGTGCCCAGAAAAACAGTACCTGCCTCACAGGTTTAAGAGCCTGCAGGGGAGGGCAGTCCGAGAAAATCAAAGGAAGCACAGAAATGCGTTTGGGAAAAGCTGAGAACTGAAGTGGGGTCACCTGCAGCTTTTCCAATGTTGATAACAGAGGTCAGTTCATTCCCTTCGAACAAAGTCTTCATTAAAAATCATTTCCCTTAGCTACCAGGGGATATGGTAAGGCCTGGGGGAGAGCTCAGGGGTGAGCACTTGGTTAACCCTGCAAGACCCTAAAACAATGCAATCCTGACCCAAACACCAGGCCTACTATTGCATATGTGGGAGCCTGCACACAGTGAGCAGTGCCATCGAGTACCCTCCTTCTCCTTTGTGTCATCAGATCCTGAGGATGGTGGAATGACTAAAGCCCAGCATTCCAGTCACACATGTCCCCACAAAAACATATGGCTAAAGTCAACCTGATGTGATGTCACTGTACCTACCTGCAGGGTTGCTCTCACAAACGGCCTAAGAGGAACCCGGCCACCGTCTCCGCCTGGGCCTCCCAGGCGCCCACGGCTCATGCATTGCTTCTGCCAGTTTTGCTCCCTCAGTGGCTCCCTCCAGGGTTTGTTTTTGGTTACTGGTTCAAACCAGGCGATACCAGGGCTGTAAATCTTAGGCAGGTTTTCCTTCTTAGATCCAGACTTCCTACTTTCCACAGGAACAAACCATGAGACGCCTACAGGAAATATTTTCCAGAAGAAACTAAAGTTTTATTTTTTAATAATCATACTCAACTACAAAGACATGTACGTAATACTGACTTGCAAAGGACTCATCTCTTGGGGTTGGCAACCCCTAGAGTGCCCTTGAGTTGGTTTTAACCACAGTAGGACTCTCTAAATGAAGTTCTAGTGGCATTCAGAACACGCCATGTGGTGGCTAGTGGTAGGTGGAGCCAACATACAATCCCCAGAAGCAAGGGCAAGCTCAGTGTTGCAAGAGACATAGACACACCTTTGTGAGATTCCCTGCTACCTGGAGTTAGAAACTGACCCTTAAAATACAAACAAACCAACCTTCACAGGAGTTTGGCTTGATCTTCCTTAAGTTTTTGTTCTGCAGATAATTGGAAAAGAACCTTTTCTCTTTGTTTTTTTCTTCTGACCAAGAAGTCACATCACTGTCTTCTTCCAGTCTGGCCTCACTAGAACTGGGAGTTGGGAAAGTCACCCCAACATCCCGAGTGTATTTTTTGGTGCCAGTCACAATCTCCAAGTTACCTGAGGGGAAAGACAGATGTATCTGGAAGCAGACTAGAAGTTTGGCTGGCAGGCTTAATAACTCAAAGATATGCTGCATGGTCCAGGGGAGGAGGAAAGGCAGAGATGGGGGAAAAGGCAGACAGACAGACAGACAGACAGACAGACAGACAGACAGACAGACAGACAGACAGACAGACAGACACACACACACACACACACACACACACACACACACACACAGGTTTAATTTCTAAGTGGGTTTAACTATCAGAAAGAAAGAAGAAATATGGATTCAGTTGGTTCAGGCTTTCAACTCAGGGGAACAAGACAGTAAGAACTTCTGGTCCTGCTGCCAATCACCTAGTAAGAAGGAGGTGATAGTAGGGAGCTCAAGACTTGAAGGACGAAGAAAAAAGACTGACTTGTATGAAACCAAACTCTCTTCAAATTCTCCCAGCCCTGCTCTCTAGTCACTCTGTTCACAATTCTGGACCCCAGAAAACTACCTACTTAAGCATTCTCTTCCCTCCTTTGATTTTACAAAATGCACACAGCAGTAAACTCTACGTGTTCTGTTCCTTGATCTCTGTGTATGTTGGGAATTGAACCTAGGCCCTCTGCAACAGCAGCCAGTGTTCTTAACCGTTTCTCCTGCCCTGAGAGAGCTTCCTCATTCTGTATAAAACTTCCTCATGAGAGTTACCAATGTTAATGATAACTATCAAAGTTGCTTTTAATTTTCTGCTACAATACCCCTACTTTTGCACATATTTGAGTATTATCTATTGGCCAAATCCCCAGTAAGAGCTGCCAAACTGCTTTTCACAGAGGTTGTAGCATTTGGACCCCCTGCTACAAAGGCACATATTTCCCTACACTCTTGCTTATAAACTCGGATTTTTTTTTACAATTAATAAGTAAATAATATCATAAAAATAGTAAAAATATGCAGGTACTTTTAATCTTTATACCTCTTATCATGAGTAAGGTTTAAAAAAAAGGAGGCAGAGGCAGGTGGCTCTCTGTGAGTTCGAAACTAGCCTGGTCTACAAGAGCTAGTTTTAGGACAGCCTCCAAAGCCACAGAGAAACCCTGCCTCAAAAAACCAAAAAAAAAAAAAAAAAAGTGTGTTAAAGAAACATTTTTATATCAATGAAAAATTTAAATTCAAAGGATTTACCAGCTTGTACACCCTTGTTCAACATGTGCACAGTTTCCCCGTTGTAAAGAGTAGAGTCCAAGGTCAAGAAACTACCAGCAGATGAAATGGAGTCAGAAGAAATATGATTTGCCTCCTGGAAAAATGAAAAAGACTGTTAGAGTGATCTGTAGCCTGAGAAATATCACCTGGGGGCAGGCCAGCCTACAAGCCCCCTAAGCCCTCTCTACTCAAACTGCTGAGACACGGCTGAGAGAGGCTTATGAACAATGTGGCCATGAATCTATGATGGGAAGAATGCTACTGTAAGGACAGGCCCAAGCTACTGCAATACTAAGAGAGCTGGGAATTTCTCTGGGATTTGAGAAAAATTGAAGAAGCTGGTATATAAACTTTAGCCTGACACATCTCCAGAATGATATTCTCAGCTCACACCTGTAGATAATTCTGGAGCTAAAAGAGATGCTAACTAAAGTGATGAAGCCCACAGAGGACCCCTCAATCAGAGCAGATTCAGACACTTTTTATATGACAGACACCAAAGAGTAGCACTGCACCTTAAGAAATCCCAAATGAGCCAGGTGGTGGCGGCACACACACTTTACTCACAGCACTTGGTGGGGTAGGGGCAGGCAGTTCTCTGCAAGTTTGAGGCCTGGCCTGGTCTACAGAGTGAGTTCCAGGACAGGCTACAAAGTCACAGAGAGACTCTGTCCCAAAGAAACATAAAGGAAACCCCAAATGAATCAAGTATGAAATACATGAAGCCCCAGAGCCCTTTTAAACTATATTCAGAGCAAGTAGAGCATTGAAGGTAAAGTTAAGGGATGAAAGCTGACACTGATGGGTGGGGGGAAAAGTTGTGTGTGCCCAAGTTGTGTACCCATAAACATGGATGCCAGGAGAGGACAACAGCATCCTCCTTCGCCACTCTCAATCTATACCTCTGAGGCAAGTCTGGACTTTGCGCTCACATTTTCACTGCTAGATTGGAAGCTTAGAAACCCCAGCAATCCTGTCTCTGCTTCCCTTCCCTCAGATTTGGGATTACAGGCACATAAGGGATGGTCAGCTTGTTGTGGGTAAGTGCGGGCACCTGAACACTGAGTGGCATGATGGCACAGCAGGTGTGCTTCCCCAGAGACAGCTCTCAAGCTGAAGAGTGTCTAAGCTTGCTCATCACAGAATATCTGGGGGTGGGAGAACTCTGGGGGGAGGGGGAAAACAGAATCTCTAGGCGAAAGGCTTAAATCTGAATTTTTAATAAGTTCCAGATGACATTTTCAAAGCAAGTTTGGTAGAAATGTAGTTCAGCTCAAGCCAGGAATCTATTCCTTTGAACTATACTGTAAGGACTCTGGGAACTTAGCCCAGAATCCTGGGGGAGAAGGGGGTGCCATGATAAGACAACTGAAAGCAGGGGACATTTTGATTTTCAGAAAGGTAAGTATTATAAACTGGTGAATTTAACACTCTTGACCTGTCAAGTTTAGAGTTCATCATCAATCTGATAATCTGCATGTAGGCATGTGAAAGTCAAGGCTAGCAAAGTCCAAGCATGGGAAAGAAGACCAAAACTGGCTTGCCGGTTAGCTGTTTTCCTAGTAAACATGGTCACTGAGTGGAAGCATGTCCAGTGTACTTACATTTGAACAAAGGACAGAACGTTTGAGAACTAGCTGGAGTTCCAAGGACTGAAACGACAATACACGATGGTAGAACCAGAGTCAGTTAGTCTACACTTACCCTAGCATTACTTCAATGCTCAGAAAGATCCTGAGTAGACATCCTGCAGTGCACAAATCCCCACTGAGCACCTTCTTGTCTCTAGGTTTGACTATTCTTGCTTCATGTTTTGTGTATCACTGCTTCAGGGTGATTTGGAAAGTAGGATTTCTATATAATAAACACCCAGAGTGCCTGAGAGGCTCTCAAGGAACAGGAGTATGTTCCAAATCAAGTGAAAGGGTGTTTAGTAGGGAAATAAGCCAGAGCACTGTGTCAACAGGACGATAAAAATTTTGATGTAGGAGGGGGGAAGAAAGCTCCAGCCTAGAATCCTAAGACCGGATTTGCTAGTTGTCTCTCACGATACAAAGTTGTCTCTTTATGCCAGTTTTCTCACTTAGAGATGGAACTGAGGGTTTTACTTCTGAAATGACATGAAGTGTAGAAAGAGGCCGAACATGCTGGCTCAATACCTGTAATCCCAACATTTGGGAGGCAGCCTGAGGCTAGCCTGAGCTACACAGTGAGTCTCAAAACTAATAAATAAAGACACGTATTTGGAAAAAAAAAAATCAACAAAAGAAATACTAGAAAAAAATGTAAGCTTTTCATGACTTCAAGCCCAGCCTGGGCAAAAAAGTGAGACACTATCTCAGAACAAACAAATAAGAAAGACTTTAATGACTATTAAACAAAACAAACACCCAACTAATGCTGTGCACGCCTTTAATCCTAGCACTCGGGAGGCAGAGGCAAGCCTAAAAATCAAAATAAATGGTAAGCCACCCATATGTATATGAGTTAGAAGACTCAAAAACTGCTAGGATGGCAGGCCTCTCCAGACTAATTTGAAGGTTCTCCACAAGCCTAAAAAATTCTAATAAACCTTCTGAAAGAATTTATAAGCTGATCTCAAGCTTCCATGGAAAGGCAAAGGATCACAAGAGCCCAAAATTATTAGAAAAGAAAAATAATTCCTGATTTCAAAACAAAGTTACAATAATTAAGACACAGTATAAGTGAGGTAAAAACTGGGTGTAGACATATCAGTCAACAGAGAATGGAGAGTGATAAGGTTAACTCTTATAATTATGGTCAGCAGTATTTCAGGACGGTACCAAGGATAGCCACTGCAGGAAAGTATAGACCTCTGAACAAGATTTAGAACAAATGAATCTTTACATACAAAAGATGACTTTAAACACCACATCACATAAACAAAAATGCACTGACCAGAGCTAAATAATTACTAGATCCAACAGATAATTACTAGAACCAACAGATATGTCCAAGCCTTTTGAGACTCCTGTATGACATTGCCATTTTATGAATGGCACACTAGCTATCCTGAGATGCATGTGTGGGCGTGCTGAGAATCAACTTGTAAAATGAAATCATAGGAGAAAATCTGTGTGGCCTTGACTAGGAAAAAAACAAACCCTCAGGTCTAATACCAACAGCACAATTCCCAAAGGGGAAAACTAAATTGCATTACTCACCATTTGAACATCAAATTTTATTTTTAAAATAAACAGAAGTGCCAGAACAGGAGAACTTGTCATCAAATCATACGCCTGGTAAGACTTGTGACAAAAATATAGAGCCAATGAGACCAGATACCACACTTGATCTTACCCAAAAGGCTGAGAGGTGACCCCATATATACAGAACTCTTAGGAGCTCAACAGGAAGACAAAAGATCTGAGTATCCTTTCCACAAAGACAAGAACCCAAAACCATCTTCATTATCCTCTCATGGATGACGTCCAGATGAAAAGCATCACAAAGTGCCTTCACATCATTTAAGGCGGCCACACCAAAAACATGAATAATGACAAGTTTGGGTAAGATGTGGAAGAACTAGACTGCTCAACACACTGCACATGGACATTTTGAAGAAACACAGGCAGTTTCTTAAAATGTTAAAATTTTAGAAGCCATTTCACACCCAAAGGAAATAAAAATGCTTACATAAAACTTCTAAACAAATGTTCATAGTCATATTTCAATAATTAAAAAACAATCTAAACATTCTAAATATTCACTAACAGACCTACTGCGGTAAAAACCCATAAAACCAACTACTACTCAACAATAGGAGGAACTACTGCCAACATACCACATGGATAAATTTGATGACATCAAGCTAAAGCAAGCAAGCCAGACGCAAAAGGCTGTATCATCAGTGACTCTATATGAACTGTGCAGAATGGGCAAGATAAGGGTTCCCAAAGCAGGGAATAACTGTATCCAAAAACAAGAGAGCTTCCTAGACAGAAATATTGTAAAGTGGATATGCTGATGACTGCATATCTCACTTTCACTACAAACTATTAACAATGGCTGCCTCTGGTAAGTTGATGCCTGGGAACAGGAGTGGGAAGGACACTCATCAAATACTCAAGGAACATTATCTCTAATGTTTCACTGGGCTGTATTACCAGTTCAAGAGACAATCAACAAAACAAAGGCTTGAAGTGATTAATGAGTTTGATGGTACAAGGCTGGAGAAATGTTCTAGCCCTATAAAAGTGGTAAACTGATTCTATCAGCATGCTTACTTAGTTCAAGGTCCAAGTTTTAAAGTAGGATATCCATAAACATATCCCCAAGAAAGCTGCTGTATTTGGAAAAGGATAGAAAAGTTCGTCCACACAGTAACTGGGTGGTTAAAACGGGTACCTTGAGAAATAAACTTTGTGAGCAGGGAGCTGAGAGAGAGATAGCTAGACCTGTTTCTCATACCAGAATGACCAAAGCAAGTAGATTTGCAATCTTAGTAGTGAAAACCTCTGATAATTAGGGCCTAAGGTCCATGCACTGGTCTGCCCTTTGAGGAGATGGTACGGATAAGCTGATGAAGCAAGGGCTGGTGTGCCCGGCCTCAAGCCAAGTGTGATAGCAATGGATAAAAACACAGACCTCCTGAATTTCCAAGATACCCAACCAGTTGTAAACACACAAAGTCAGGGAAAACCCATATTTACAATGCATTTTTTGATAAATTGCTATGAAAAGCTAAATATTCAAAACTATAGTCTAAAAATAATCTTCTCACAACAAAATGTACTTATTCATCCCTCTATGATGGTGAAAGCCAAATGACACAAAACAAATACTAACTGGGATGCTGAGAAACTGAAATGTTCACAGTGCCTATGGGGATGAGAAACACTAAAGGCACTTTTCAAAGTCTGGAGGTTACCAGATGCATGTGATCAAACAATTCCACCCCTAGGTATAGTCCCAGGAGAAGGGAAAACAGGCCAACACATTAAAAATATGTACATGCTCATCCAGCTATGTTGAAAATAGGCAAAAAGTAGAAAATCATATCCTGAACTTAATGACAAAACAAAATGTGGCATTCAATTCAGGGGAGTACTTTGTCATAAGAATAATAAACAC